CTGTAACACCTCCTCTGTTCTCGTGAAGACGTTAACATTATAAACTCACAGAACTACTATGATTGAAATGTCGACTTAAACTTAAAGCTCCAGCGTGGCAGATATGGAATATTAATATTCATAGGTATGTTTTCATTATTAGAAATGAAAGGGTATCGTTTTTTTGCGCATTTCACAACCACTGTAGTTTCTCCTTTGCACTTGGAAGGGGAGGTGGAGCGACGGAGTAGCAATCTGCTGCTACACCGTTAGATGCTACTAAATATTACACACTGGAAGGTTTAAGAAGGATTGCTAAAAATAGTCTGTCAAAGAGCCATAAAAGAACTGTGGTACATACCTTTAAAGTGACCTTCAATTGTGTGTCTAAAGTTCAAAGACTTCTTCGGGCTGTCACAATATAACATTTTCATTAAATGATAATCTTGGTCAAAGTAATTAACAATAACGACATTATTGTGATCTCTATCGAAAATTGTGGGGAAAAAATGAATGCAGTCAAATTCATCTTTAATCTTGTCTTGTTTTGTTTTTGGCAGATTATTTACACTCAACTGTAATGCTGGCAACCAGCGTTAAGGTGCATTACTGCCACCCACTATGTTGAGTGTGAACCACAAAGCGAGAACAGAAAGAAATGGAAATAATTTAAGAGCCACTGATTATTTACCTCATATCTTTATATGTGTATTATTAACTCAATATTTCATTTTTAAATATCACAATTATTGTCAGTATCAGAATATCACATCGCCCCTATTTCACATGTGTTATAGAGTGTTGTTTTCTTGAGTATTGGCTTAATTGTGTTAAATGGCATTAATGCAGCCTATGTAAACATTGGTACATAAATTGTATCCCTTTTATGTATATAGATCCATTCAAATATGTTGTATATGTCTGGGTGCCAGTTAGTAAACAAATGTTCATAATATTTAGCAGATAAAATGAATGAATGAATAAACGTTAGGCTTGTTGATGTGGCAGAATAAGACAACATCAGAGTGGTAATATTCTCTTTTCTTGTGGTTCTACCAGCTGGGAATGCTGCACTGGTTGTGGCGCCTGGTATTAACACTCTTTCGTACAGAAACTGTCATTTAGCTAATTGAAACACGGTGGTTTAGGATTTGTATGAGGTGACAAAATAAAGGCAGATTCACCTCTCTATTTTACATTCTTCAGACATTTATTGACCTCGCTCATCTATGACAAGAGGCAAAGACAGTCGAAGCAGTCCTGTGTAGGTCAGGTGTACGTGACTTTTCACTAATGAAGTGTCACCACTTCGACGTACTGCACAGATTTCTGACAGGTTAACTTGCAACTTCCCAAGTAATAGCCAAGGGACATTGTTGAACATTTACTAATTCTTAAACAGTATAATTTCTAGTTTGAATTGATTTGTTTTCATTGGGAATTAGAAAAGGCACTCTATCTGGCCCAGCAAGTACCACTGCTGTAGAGGTTTCACATTTTGTTTGGGAGATGTCAAATGTAGGGCAATCAGTTACATTTCTGTTGGACAAAGTTACACTTATACGGTTCTGTACCCATCATCTTACTAATTGTTTAGTTTTGCAACATTTTGTCCTGCAAAAATCAGCAGTCTGCTTTATGTTTCCTCAGGTGTGACAGCATAGAGAAGCTAAAAGCTCAGCTGCCAAAGATGGAGCAAGAGTTAAAGGACCAAGGGAAATTTAAGGACTTTTACCAGTTTACATTTAATTTTGCAAAGAATCCTGGCCAGAAAGGTTTGGGTAAGAATCTTTAATACTTGTCATGTTAACGGTTTGATTGTTTGTTGAATGCATATCAACTTGTTTCTGGTTTTCTTACAGATTTAGAAATGGCAATTGCATATTGGAATTTAGTACTGGCTGGAAGATTCAAGTTCCTGGACTTGTGGAACAAATTTTTAGTTGTAAGTTTGATAATCACACTCAAGGTTACTCTAAAAATGCAAATATGATTACTTCTCATTGTGTTGCTTCAACTTTGCCCTACATCTTTTACAGGAGCACCACAAAAGATCAATTCCTAAGGACACTTGGAACCTCTTACTAGACTTCAGCACAATGATCACAGATGACATGTCGAATTATGATGAGGAAGGTTTGTACAGTATTTACTCTCAGCTGAAAGTGAACCCTGCACAGCATCTATGACCTGCAATTATTCCCATTAGATTAAGTGCTTCTGCCCTGCTTCACACAGGCTTAGTGTGGGTTTACAGTTGTAAAATAGCCCTTATCCATAGTCACATCTTAACCCGTGGTGGAGTCAATTCATGTTGTTTGTTTGTTGGTTCAACAGGTGCATGGCCTGTCCTTATTGATGACTTTGTGGAGTTTGCACGGCCACACATCGGGACCAAAAGCACAGCAGTTTAAGAGCTGCTCTCACAGAAGGAACATCCATGAGAGATTTCTACAAAACAGAGAGCGCAGTGAGCGGAGAACAAGGGGACCGCACTGAGCTGAGAACTATGTTGCCTTTTCAACCCTCAGGACTGAAATATTTTACACAGCAGAGACTTTATATGTGTGTGTTTATTTACATATATAAAAAAGGCATATCTCTTTGTTGGTCAACTTGTGGTGGTTTGGAACTTTTATCTAAAGTATTGGGCTTTTTGTGTGCGCTCAAGCCAATTGGGGAGGAGTCACCATCTTGGCCCACATGGTTCATTGATGTGTTTGGGCTCCACTCAAAGCAGGTAGATAGACACACTTTTGAATTGTAATCTAAACACGAGGGTTCGCTAGGGGACGTTGTTCTTTAAATATTGAATTTTAATACTCTTGTGTGAATTCCTAATTTTTGTTTTGTTTTATGATGCATTTGTGCGACAAGTCAGTATACAACGTTGATTGTAATTTTTTAAGCATAATGCTGTTTGTTTAAACACAAATGTATAAAGATAAAATAAATGTTTCAATTTGGTATCTTTAACACTGCCAGGCCTCTGTGCGTTTCTGTGTAAAAGAAATGAATAGCTCAATGTTAATATAAGTTGTTCCTGAATACTAAAGGTTATCATTTATACTAATACTTTACATCTGAAGTATGTTTGGAATTAAATTAGGTTAAATGCCATAAAAAATGTAAGAGGTCTTTGTTCCTCTCACTGCAATACAAATGTTTTTTAAAAGATTTAGTAGAGCTCATGGTTTATGATAATTTGCCTGTTACAATTTTGTGTTAACTTGGAGAAGTCTGTATTAATTTTAAGATGAATGTAGACACAGGTCTTGCATACAGAACCAAAGAAGTACCGTAAACTGTATATCCATTCAAGGGTACACTACACTGAGTCCGTATTATCATTAATAAGTTAGTGATATTGACATGGAATAATCAAGATATGTTTTTGTCTAAGTCTGATAAGTATAATAAATGTCTGGTTTGGGGGTATTACAAATTAATTTACATGACAATTATATCCCAAGAGAAAAAGAATACATAATTGATCAGTTTATGCTTTTAGGGAGATACCATACTCTTTGAGATACCTGCTGAAAAGAGGTAGAGACTTTTGTATTATTTTCAGCCTTTGTAAGCTATATCTGTATGATCAATCTTAAGTTACCTCTTGAGTATTGTCTATGCTGATGTGCCTTCTTCCCCGCTCTGATGAAGGTGATACACCGTTTGGGAACGTGCTGATTCTTGCCCCGCCCTGACTTTCTTCTGGTGGAGGATAGGTGTTAAACTCTAGCTTAGAAGGGACAGGCAGAGGAGGTGAAGGTGGAGGAGTTGGAGTGATCAGTGTGATGTCCACTATTTCGGTAATGGCTGCCTGGAGGGTGGAAACCACCTCTCCCGACCTCAAACTCTGCACTGTGCTCCATTTCAGTGGCAGAGATGATGTGGGTGCTGTATGATTTGTTGTCACAGAACGTTTCCAGAAGAAAGAGGTCACTGGACTTCTGTCACATATTGATAGGAAGCTGCTTTTGAGACTTCTACAGGGAGTAAGATCATGTATTATATTTTATTCCTTAAGGGATATACTGGCATGCACTTGTTCACTACATGTACGAATGGCTGTGCTTGCAATACTGTTTTCAATGCCGTTATCTCAAGATAACAAAGCTTGTTTTCTTGTGATAACAGGTTAATTCATTTCATTATCTCGAGGAAACAAAATGCCGATTTTTCAAGATAATGAGATCGTTATACTAATGAAGTTACCAGTCTCAGCAGGATCACTGAAGTAGTGTCACATGATTTGTATGTAATGAATTGTAAAACACTGTGAGGCTCTGCTGATCAATACATTTAATAACTACAAATTAGTGATAATTCAATAACTCAAGAGAGCTTAGTGTACTGTTACTGTTTGTTGATCATTAGTTGCACCCCCCAGTGATTACAGACCCAAATATCCTTCCTGTGAACAGAGACGTGAGTCATTTCACATGGAACCAAACACAGGAGACAGCTGAATAAAAGCCTGGTCACCTGCTGCTGTAACTTTGTTCTTGCTCAACACTTGTCTTGAGAAGAAATGATTTAAGAAGAATGCAGTTTTGGCACACATGATTCTTATCACTGTGACAATGAGGAAACTACATATACTATACAAGTGATTTGATGAACATTCAAAATACTCAAGGATACACACGTCTTGGAGCAGGCAAACAGAACCTCTCTACACTTGTGGTGCTCAATATGACTTTATTTATTTGAACCTATATTTGACTTGTTTTTCTTTTCTGATAAAATAGGCTGATTGGATTCATTTATAGGTATGCTTAACAACCACTGATGATGCCTATTTGTTATAAAGAAGTTTAATAAAGTTAAAAACATAACCAGAGGGTCAGCACGGTCAGGGGCCAACATAAATTTGCATTCACTTGTCACTAAATTTAGCCTTTTTATCTGTATTACACGGAATTCTTTCACCTCTTCAGGGTCCTAAAAAACTTTTTAAAACAATCAAACTCACATCCACATAAAGACCCTAATCTGAGCCCCCATACTTCAGGAAGAAAGGCACTGTGGTTGATGAGACATGATCCACTTCCTGCCTCGCGCTGCCTCCTTGTGGCGACCACATTTAAAGGCACGTGCGGTTGCTAAGGGCGACTGACAACAGACGGACTGTTGCAACAGCAAACCGGAGAGATAAACAACAGACAGCCGCAGACACAGAGTCCACTTTAAATGATCCTTTGTTAGTCTGTGGAGAAAATGTCGAGCATTGTGAGTTCAGTTTTATCGGAGGTGGGCTGGGACGAGCACTTCGCTATCCCCGAACTCAACGCTGAAAACAAGGCTTTGATAGAAGAGGTGAGTGTGGGACACTTATATTTATTTATTTATTTACTAATGAAGCAGTTTTACTAAGGGTCACTGAGTAACTGAGAGCGATATGAACGAACAAACGTGGTCATATTGGCTGGATGTTTGACTCCTGTGTTAAATAGCCTAATAGTTTACATATTTGTTGACATACTGAATGTAAACATAATGATCGATAGTGGATTGTCATGTTTTTCAGTTGTTTTGTGCTGAACATGATCAGTGAAGCCTGTTGTTGTTTATTCATTTATAGATTCCAGGTCATGTATTAAACTATTAAAATCTGCCATGAGCTTCACTAGTTACTACCATACAATGCTTTATTTAACATGCATTTAACATTTTAATGAAATAAAATACACTGCACTCACATTGTTACAAATACATTTAACCATCTAGACTATGGCCCCAGTAGTTGTAAAGTTTTACACCAACACACAATGTGACAAAGTGTTCCAGGTGAATGGTAAATCTGTCCTTATATCCCAGGACAAATGTTTGTTACTGCATTTAGTGATGGGCAAACCATGTGAGACTTGTGCTGCACATTGTGTGCCATGTTATGCTTTTAATCTGATTATTCCTTCAACAATAGATCCGTAAAAATGAGACAAAGTTGCTGAAACTGACAAACAAACTTGAGAGACACAAGGATGAAAAGCAGTATAAGGCTGAATACCTCACAAATGCTAAACAAGCGCTGGAAAATACTGAGGTAAGTGCACCACAACACAATGTTAATGTAACAGAGTGGTGTGAGTCTCTTCTGTTAATTGGCTTACAATCACAGTATCTAAGTGAGTTGTTAATTTCTGCACACAGGCTCTGTGCAAGGCCCGGGAAAGAGAAGAAGAGTTGGAGAAACACCTCACAGCCCTCACAGAGAGGGAGACAGGTCGCCTGGCGCAGGAGACTGCCAAGATGGAGAACGACCATAGATCTTTAGCAGAGAGGACGAACATGCTAGAGGTCTATAACATTCACAACATGTATACAGTAAACATAGAAACCACCATAGCTGTTGTTGTAGCCAGAATGTGCTACTTAACCTTCATCCATTTATCCTCAGAACCAAATCTTCAAGGCCAAACAGAAGCTAGAGGAGTTTAGGAACCAGATGAACTGGGACCAGCAGGCTATGGATGCCTTTTTAGAGGAGTCGGCACGCAAAGATGAAGACACGATGGCCATCATCAAGTACGCCCAGCAAGATGAGCAGAGGATCAAGGTAAAGAGCTGTATGAAATAAGTATCATACATCATATTCTGTTTTCAGCTGCAGCTACATCCAAACTAAACAGCTGTTTCACACTCATCCTGAGCTAACAGCTTCATAATCTCTCCTGATACAGTCGCTGAGTCTGGCTATAGAGAAGAAGACACTGGAGGCCAGTGAAAAGCGCAAAGCGTTTGACAAAGAACTGACTGAGACTATATCTGCACAGGTACTGTAAGAAAACACTGTGCACTCTCACGGTTGCATGACAAACTAACGTCAGCTGAAAGAACTTTGCACAGTTAATTTTTATGGTGCACCAGCAGTGCATATTCTTAGCTACTAGAGGGCTCTTCAATTTCCTTTATATTCAGTACAAGACATCGAGGAAATCATGAACATTTGATATTTTAAAGAAGGAAATTCTCCTTTATTGAGGGAAAAAGCTGGTCACTGTGTCCTGTTAATAGAACAAAGTAGTCAGATAAGAGGATTTGAAGTTTGAAACTGAAATACGCACATTTCCTTGAGGATTCCTGCCAGCGACAATTACCATCTGGACACTTAGATTTGTATATAAGAGTCCCAATGCCATTGGCACCTTACAGATGGTTGTTAAGGAGGAACAAATTTATGATAGATATCAAAATATTTGCAAATTTAATGTCCCAGATCATTTAAGATGACACTTCATTGTAGAAGTATAAATTAGAATTGACACCATGTTGTTCTTGAGTATCACTCCCATGTCACAGTGTCTACAAGAAAACATTCACCCTGTGCTTTCCCAACAGATTGCTTTTGATAAAACTGCAGAGAATTTGCAGCAGGTCCACGTGGAGACGCAGCACCTCATCCACCAATGGGAAAACACTATCAAGCATATGAAGCAACGAGACGCTGAGATGCAGCAGTGTGCGCTGGTAAAGTCTGTGACTGACCTCACACTTCTGCCGATGAAAGACATGCTGACTCACACTATAGCTTCTAAACTCCTGAACAATAAAAGCCAACTGAAGTGTTTGTGCTCCTGTCTTGTTCTTTCATCCATCCAGCAACTTGCCCAAGCCAACCAGAACATCAGGGAAAGGAATGGCACCATTACAGAGTGGAAGCACTTGCTGGACACTCAGAGGAACAACAACAAGGAAACTGAGAGGAAGATAAGCATAACCAACCGACAGGCTGTAAAGCTGCGGCAGGAGTTGAAAGAGCAGGAGAATAACTGCAGCAGGCTACAGGATGAGGTTGGCTTAACAACATCAAAATTAATTGACTCAACTGTAATCTACCTTCATATTGTAAGAAAGATTGATTAATCAATCATGTGTCTTTGCAGCTGAATAGTTGCAAAGCTTCACGGGACAGAGCAGCGTCTGATGTGGAGTCTGTGACGGCCCAAATATGCAGAATAAAGAAAAACATCCAGGATAACAATAACAAGTCAGTGAAATTGTACAACACAAGTCTGGTGCTGGATTACCACTCAAGCTCTAGTACACAAGCTCTGTCTGTGCATGTGTTGTAGAGTCAAGGAGGCCAGGGCCTACAACACTGCGCTGGAAGAGAAGCTGAACGTTGTGACTCAGAGCACCCTTAGTGAGGAGGAGAGAGCTGTGCAGATGGACCAGTTCCTCAAGGATGAGGAACTGGCAATCAAGGTAAGCCTGACAATCCTGAACCATGTACTGTTCATTAGCTATGGTGTTACATAATAACTTTTTAATTCCAAAACCTTTTTGCATCTCAGCACTCTCTTATTATTTTTGCTTTATAGCTTTATAGCACACATTCAAAAATATCCGCTACTGTATCTTTGTGTTGCCATGAATTTAAACCAATTATAGACAGATAGCTTTGGGGTGTTGTGACAGCTCACCTGGTGGAGCTGGCGCCCCATATACCAAGGCTGAGTCCTTGTTGCAGCGGCCATGTGTGTTTCTGTCGCTCTTTGCTGTGTGTCATCCCCTCTCTCCCCCCTTTCCTGTCACTCTGCAGCTATCAATATCGATTAAAGTCAGTAAAATCACATAGCTTTGTGCTGTCATATACGTCTGTGTAACCCTGTCTTGCCCTGTCTCTGCTATAGGAGTTGGATGTCCAGCTGCGTGACTGCAGGGAGGAGCTTTTTTGTCGTAAAGAGCGTTTGCAGGCCCTCAAGACAAAGGAGAAGGATTCTATCGCCCAGGTTTCGAGGAATAAAGCCACAGTCAGCAACCTGAAAAGCAAGCTCAGAAAACTGGAGCAGGAATTGATGAGACAGCAGATGACCATGAGTGAACAGGCACGCTTACCAGAACACGCACACACACACACACACACACACACACACACACGCAAATGTGGCCTTCTACCATCACACTACCACCTGTCCCTAGTCTGGTGCTACTCTCTGAAATACCAATACATTTTCCTTTTACTTTCCTGCATTGTGTAGGACAACCAGGTCATCTACCTGGGTAAAAAGCTGGCACAGCTGCAAGGTGACATTCACTCAGATGAAAAAGAAATGCTGGACATGAAGATCGCTGAGCTGACAAAAACCCTTGACGAGAAGAACAAGACAGCCAGCATGTTTAACAGCACGCTCAAGGAGTGTGAGGTCGGTCCAGCTGTTACTTCACCGTACTGTTCTGCATTTCTCACACAATGAACCAGTGGAATAACATACGTCTTTGTCTCTGACAGGATGATATTCGCTATTTGAGGAAAGAGATGGAGAAGTCAGACTCTCAAAAGAGAGATCTGACCGGCAAGGTAGACGAGCTCATGCTCCTCTGTAACACCAATGAAAAGGAGCTGAAGAGAATCAGGCTCACAAAACAGGTAACTAACTGATGTCATAGCAGGAATCATGAAATCACTCAACGTGTGGTTAACATTTTAGGACTTCCTGTGTTCAAATTGTGATTAGGAAATTAGACATAAAGTGCTTCTTTGGGCTGAGTTTGATTTAAGGTCATATCTCCATATTTCGGAAACAAATATTTAATTGTCAGAAAATGTATTGAGAGATATTATGATGGTCAAAATTATTACAGTAAGTCATTAATTAAGTACAATAAAGTTTTAATGGTTATTTTTCATGGTTAGTTTCATATCTATATATTTAATAGCTTTCCTTATTATATACTTTTGGTTAGACAAAAAAAGTAATTATTTATATTTTTAAGTAATAGTTTTAAGATCTCATTTTGAAATCTGGCAACTTTTGAGGAAGATAGAACAATTGTTTTCATTATCAATTAATCTGTCTATTTTTTAAGGTTTTAGGGTGCAGAATGCCAGAAAATAGTAAGAATTGTTCTGTCACAGTTTCTCCAAGCCAACCATGTATAAATAAAAATGGATACGGCCTGTATAGGTTTCTGAAGAGCCTTTGTGAAGCTCAAAATGTGGTGGCTCTGGCTGTCAAAATGTTGGCAGTCCTGACTCTGTCTGCTCCCGGCTAATCCAAAAATTGGCAAAAATCTGGAGCATGGGTAAAGCTGAGGCGTGCCAAATGAAGCCTGGTTGCTAAAAAACAGCCACCTTTGACAGGACCCACCTGTCACTCAAGTGGCCATTCTCTTAATTGTGCACAACTTTAAATCTTTATATAATTGAAACAGATGAGTTGTATAAAACCTCACCCCTGTACAGTTCTTGAACCAGAAAATATTAGCAATAGAGACTAAAACTGTTTTTGGTACCGGGCTGTAAACATGTTTGCGTGTGCTGTAAAGTTGGGCATTTTAATATGCCGTATTATGGAGATTGATTACTTCTGTAGCCAGCCTCAAGTGGTCGTTGGAGGAACTGCATTTCTGTCAGTAGATCCTCATAAATGTTACACACTGGACCTTTAAGGGTTTGACACTTAAAAAATAGTGTGCCTTATGTCATGTCTTTCAAAATGAGAACCACCTAGATGCACCATGTTGTTGACCTCACATGTTCCCCATCAGGACAAGATGGTGGAGCATAACATCATGAAGATGGAGGTGAAGCGTATGAGCAATCTGCTATACAACAAGGCAGACAGCATGCTGTCCTTGGAGAAGAGGAAGCTGGAGCTGCAGAAAGCCATAAAGGAGAGGGAGGATGAGATCAAGGTCTACAGAGAAATGCTCAACCAGCAGCTCAAGATCAGTGAGCAGGACAGACAGAGACTCAGGTAAAAATCCCAGCAGTGAGACTAAATCTCCCTTTCCAGTGAGGTCAAGCAGATAAAACTTTGCTCTCAGTTGTGTTTCATGTCATACTTTTCACACGTTTTCACATAACAGTAGGGTCTATACCGAGATCACTTAACTTTAGCCATTGATCCTGTCCCAGTGCTGAACTGAATGAGAAACTGTCCAAGATTGACGTGATGAAGAAACGCTTCGAGGTTGTGATGCTTTCACTGGCAGCTCCTGAGGGGGAAGAGGAGAAATCACAGGCTTACTACATCACAAAGGTAAGAGGCCTTTAAACACACTGTCATGTTTACATGCAGAGTCTGTTGAACCTGAACAAGGTTAGATTTGTTCCTGCAGTACACACCAGCACTTTCAATCTCTCCTGTGTGCTTTTCATCAGGCTGCACAAGACAAAGAGGAGCTCAAGCGGAAGGGAGACGAACTGGATGCTAAAATCTGCAAGATGGAGCTGGAAAACAGAGCTCTGGATAACACCATTCAGTTGTTCAACAATAGTAACTCAGCATTTTGCAAATCCCTCAACAAAGTAAATAAATCCAGTAAGTATGAGCATCAAGACTAAATGAAACTAAACTAGCAACAACACTCTTATCAGGGATCATAAGCAGGAAGTTATGTGATTGTGTTTTCTCTTTGTCTGTTGAAATCAACAGAGCAGCACTAATCACAAAGTAATCAAGCCTGTTTTTGTAGGTCCAGAGTACCAGGAAAAACTAAAGCTAGAAGAGCAGTTGAATGCAGCCGAGGATACGCTAAAGTATAAGAAAAGACAGGTCCAAGAGCTCCAACAGGACTTACAGGTTAGTGCTATTTATAGTCACTGTGAGCAGTTAGTTCCTTAACGCCAAAGACCTTATCCTACATCAGGCACATTTAGGTATCACAGAAATAACTTATTGTGTTACATTTGGAATACACCGATCAGCCATAACATTATGACCACCTGGCACCCTGGTGGTCCTAATGTTCTGCAGCCCCATACCAACAAACCGTGATGCACTGTGTGTTCTGACACCTTTCTATCAGAACCAGCATTAACTGTTTCAGCAGTTTGAGCTACAGTAGCTCATCTGTTGGATCGGACCACACGGGCCAGAATTCACTCCCCACGTGCATCAGTGAGCTTTGGCCCCCCATGACCCTGTCTCTGGTTCTTTTTCTCCTTGGACCACTTTTGATAGGTACTGACCTCTGCAGACCGGGAGCACCCCACAAGAGCTGCAGGTTTGGAGATGCTCTGACCCAGTCGTCTAGCCATCACCATTTGGCCCTTATCAATATCTCTCAAATCCTCACGCTGCCCATTTTTCCTGCTTCTAACACATCAACTTTGAGGACAAAATGTTCACCTGCTGCCTGATATATCCCACCCACTTACCAGATAATCAGTATTATTCACTTCACCTGTCAGTGCTCATAATGTTATGGTTGATCGGTGTATATTCTCCAAAAGTAGGCCTGCATTTTAAATATGCTAAACTCTAAGACTATTGTCAAACTAGTCTTCATAGCTCCCGTTGTGTATTTTATTACAACCCAACCCAGTTTACAGCATGAATTTACTTGTTTCTTAAGGGGCTATCTTAATACTTAGCTACCACTTAGTTGCCTGTTTCCAACAATTTAGTATTGGAAATAATCTTCCGGCTTTCTGTAACTACATTTATTTCTTATTCACTTCCTTGAAGCTCCCTTTCTTTCTTCCTTCATTCCGTCTCTCCTTATCATAATAACACAAGTAGCTTTGTTTGTGTGTCCCTGTGGGAGTATTATGCTGTAACTAATCTCATTCTTCAACTCTTATCTATCTGCGTCATCCAGTGAAATTTACATTATGTGTGAGTTTGTGCCCCAATCTTCCTTTCCAGGACATGAACAGTACCTTGGAGAGTCTGCTGAAAGAAAAGCAGGTGGAGAAGGATAAGATAGAGCACAAAGAGGCTCTTATCAGAAAACTGAACAAAGAAATGGCTTCCCAACAAGAGAAAATTAACAGAGCCACAAAGCAGGTGTGATGATACCTGAACCACTCCTTTCTTAACTCTACAATTTACATACATACAATAACTCTATTATTTTTTAACATAAAATGCTTGGAAATCAACCTGATTTGTTTTATGTTGTTTGGTAAAACCCAGTTTAGGCTGTACACAATGTGCACTGGGAGTGAATAGAAAATAAATGAGGGATTCTGTGTGTATAGACAGTGCAGTGCAGGTAGGCAGTTATCATAGTCATATTTCAATGTTGTATTGTCCTGCTGTTTGCTAGTGCTCTAAGCTGACCAAAGAGATCCGCTCAGCAAATAACACCAAGACTGAGACTTTTGAGGAGAAGGACATTAAACTGAAGGAGCTGAAAGAATTCAACAAGAGTGTCGACAAGATGCTGAATGGGGCCATGGAGGACAAACCTGAGCTCAGATCAGTGTTGGAGAGATACTTCCTGCAGGTGTGAAACAATAAACACTGCATTTTCTTCATTAAGCATGAAGTCAGGACGGGCTGTGCTTTACTCACGTCTCACTCTCACTCACATATAGTCCTTTATGGGATTTAGGTTAAAAGTTTCCTTAACGTTCATGTTTTTTCTGCTGTTTCTCTCAGGCTAATCTGTCTCTTCCACCTCCGTCTTCCACTCCTGCCAGCCATCAGAGCTCCAAGACCAACTCTGCCCGCAGCTCCGCTACACTCAGGTCAGACCGCGTGATACGAGAAGGAGATAGCACTGGTTAGAGAAATAATGAGGGCTTGTTGTCAGATGGACGGTAATCAGTTTGAACTATTGGACTGATCATACGATTGTGCTCAAGGAAAATGATCACTTTTGTCCATTGTTTATAACCAGTGAGCTGAGAAAGACTGGTTGAACTGGGATGCTCAATTCTCTGATGGTGAAGAATTCCTGAATAAGATATTTGCTCGTCTTTGCCTGTATGAATAAATCTTGTATGTCAGCCTAGTTTGGTACCATTCAAGATCTTTATGCTGTTGTTATCTCTCTCTACTGTAGGTCTCCTGTGTCCTCAGCCAGCAGCAGTCCCAGGGCCTCTGCACTTCACTCCCCCATACTGAAGACTGTGGAACTGGGCATGGATCTGACTGTGACCTCCCCTCCTCTCACCACCTCCAGATGTTCCAGCTCTGCGAGCAGCAACAGAAAGTTAAAGAACCCGTAGTGTGCTGCACCTCTTTCTGATGGATGATTTATGGACACCTCTTCCAAAAACAGAAAGAGGGTTATAGTTACTTAAAGTTAGTTGTAGTTGCACAGAATAACTGTTTCACAATACTAAAATGTTTTGTTTGTGTGTGGTGTCATTCTGTATTTTGGTGCATTAAAAAGACATTTCACTTTGTAGTTACATATTATATTTATTCATGAAAATCAAATGTAGCCTAAAGGAAGACTTGATTATTATAAAAAAGAGTTGATGTGCCCGCCACGTGTTGAACAACAGACTTTAGTTTGATAAAACTGTAAAAGATTGAACTTTTTCTTTTAATTTAAAGCAGCAATAACTTTTATTTTGTGTTGATTCTGGTGACTGAAATAGCCAGTCTTCTTACTGATGGTCTTGTGTGCTTATGTAGTTACGTAGAGGCATCAGTATTAAATTCACACTATTTAATAACCAGTTAAAAAACAGTTTGATAACAGAAACTTGATCCCTTTTTGTTTCTTCCCTGTTCTTGTTTCAGTGGGTGTTTTTTGTCTTATAAATGTAACTTATTACAAGACATCTAAATAAAAAGTAGCAGAAAAACTTTGAGCTGTTGTTTGCATGCATCAGAATTTGCTGCCACAATAGGTTTGTTTACACATTTACAGAGAGAGGAATAATTTTCAGATGCTTGAATGACTCCAGCCCAGACAATTCTTTGAGGAACTCATGCATTGTTATGTTTACTGCCGCACCCTCAATGAATATAGGTGTTGTTTCCTGGTATGGAACAAAAGTAACCAGAGACTCCGTGGGAACAGAGGGAACACTTTCTCACTACAGATTTTACTCCTTGTTATTGGAATAAAGCTTCAACATGCTGCTGCTGATCCTGTTCGCTGGATGTTTGGCTTCTTGTGCCGCACAGACAAGTGAGTACACTAACAGAAATCATTGGGAAAGAAGATCAGCTGTCTGGATTGAAAATGTTGTTTAATTTATTGGAATTTTTCCCAGCTTCCTTTCCCTCTGTTCCTCCGGGTACGTCAACCATTACTCCCCTGACACAGTCCGTCCAGCCATCCCCAGTCCTGCTAACATCTAATCCAGCAGACAATGGTAAATGCAATTTAATCTTGCAGAGTGTAATTCAACTTGAAGTTTAAGATGGTTTATTTGATTTTGAATTTCATTATGTATACCCCACAGTTGTGGCAATCCTTGCGACCGCTGTTCAGTCCTTTCAGGAGCTAAATGAAACGACAGTTGGTCCAGTCCTGAACGAGGTAACTCACTTACCTTGTTTGCTGTCTTCACAAATTTACATTTAAGTCAATACAGGGTTTTATATCTAATACTGCAATCACAGACCTGACTATGATGAGTTTTCAATTATTTCAGCTCTCAGACATTCTCCGGATGCTCCAACCTGATCTGAACTTCAGTCTAACAGTAAAGAACATCACCAAAGTCTGAAACCTCAACTCACATGTTTCTGTGTTTAATCACCGGTTAGAGTTGAGAATAATATCCTTTACAATATTACCTGGATAAGGACAATCCTCAGTGGAGTTTTGAATGTATGCTCCTAATATTACTTCTGAAAATTCAACATGTGTATTTTTATTCCAAGGGTAAAAAAGGGAGTGGACTGATTCATTTGCAGCTATTAATTGCAGACTTGTGTTTTTTTTTTACTTTCTTTATCAGAATCAATCCAAAGATTTGTTTTCCTCTTTGGAACATGCATAACTGAATTACTGTACCACCACTGAGGATAAAATATGAGTCTTAATTGACTAAATTAAATTGAGCAAAGATATGTAATAACTACTAAATGAGCCCTAAACCCCACTGCACTGGACTGCTGCTGTAAATTGGTTGTCTGTCACTAGATTTCTGAGATCAATCTGAAAAAATATGTCTGAAAGCTGAGTGACATCGTAGTGACAGCTGTGAAATGAGTAATGTAATGCATTACATCTTTTCTATTTAAAATGCATACATGTAGAGACAGATTTACCAGTCGCCTATTACATGTCACTGAATTAACTGTTTTGTGCCCATTTCATTGCAAATTAAAACCTTCAGTCAGTCATAAATGATATATTGATATATTTAATCATCTTCTAATCACCAATAGTTATGTGTGACAACATTTTACAGTGACATTTTCACCAAAGGTACTTGATTACTGAGTTGTTGTAAAATTCAATAAAAATGGGTAGAAGAAATAAATCTGTAGCTTCATAATCAGAAGACCATAATCATTCTCATTTCATTTCACTTGTTTGTGCCGCTTGCTTGTGGAGATGTGTGCAGTGATTCAGAGGTGTTAAACCAGGCTATTTTTACTTTCCAGAAACACAACAGTTGTCTTTTAGTGGGTTTTTTGTTGCTGTTGTATTAAGTCAACTTTGATGATTTAAATACTCACCATACTTTATTGAATTTCAATAACTATGGATCTGATTCTCTCACATTCAGCGCCAGTCTCAATAAACTCATGGCAGGAAGAAAACAACAACAACATTCATGTTCAGTTACAAAAATGTTCCGAAAAGGATGAACGTATGTGTTTCATTTAAAGGGAACAGATTCTACATCATTTTTTCATCCAGTGCTGAGATAACACAAACATCGACCGGTTTCAGTTTAACCGGTTTCACTGCTGGGCATGGCAACAATTTACAAAAGATAAAGACTTTGAGCATGAATGACAGCCAGCCTACACCTAAACTATCACTCATTCAAATCTAAATAGTGAGATAGTTTAGATTCAAGAGCAGGAAGGGTACATCAGAGACATAGCAGGTGTTTAAAAGGAAGGACTGCAGTCTAAAAGCAGAGACTGAGGGGATAAAAAGAAGATAAAGTTACAGATGACAAGTAGGACAATGAGGAAGACTCAAAAGAAGAAAAGTCAAATCCTCAGTGTGCTCAAAGGTCAGCAGATCTGTGTGACAAGAAAATAAAACAGACAGCCTGTTTGTAGGCCTATGTGTAAAACAAATGGTTTCAGTAAAAGATTATAATGTGAAAGGGGCTGGACAATGTCTTGTTGTGGTTTGCCTACAAAGACAGGTAAATAAGTGTAATTATTCACATGATAATTATAATAAAATTAAAGAATTATGATGGATTTTTTCAAAAGGATGTAAATCTGTTTGTTGATATCTTGAAATATTCTTGCTGCAGTTCCACTTTCAGCTACAAGGGGGCAACACAGGCGGAAAACAAAGGCTTTGAGATTGGCCTGTAAACCTCCTCTACTCATCTTGCTCACATTGTTACCACCCAAAACCTAAAAATACCTTTTCTTCAGTTTAATAATACGCCTCAGTAATGTCTGTTCACAGATACAAACAAATCCTGTCTGTGGGCTCAGTCGTAGTAATATATCATACTCAGTGACAAATTGATGTTTCGTGTGAAGCAGAATCAATATCAATGTCATGGTATTAAAACATAAACCGATTGTAGTGAGAACAGATGATGTTCAGTGTGGTGTCAGTGCTGCTGCTCTTTGAAGACATTATTTCTCCTCTATTATAGTACCACAGGCTCAGACATCCTCACATTTAGTCCCATCGGGTTAAAAAAAAACACTGAATAACTACCTTTCCTGTGATGCAAAAAATATCTGTTTGACAGACTGTTTGTTGTAGCCACTTTATAACACAGGTTTTCTCTTAAAAGTGGTCTCAAAGCTCAGATCATCATTATTTTATCGGACTCAAAGGTCCTCCCAGGTTTTACAGCAGCTCTTCAGTCCCCCCTCCAGGCATCTGAGGTCTGTCACATGATCTTCAGTAATCAGCTCACATGCACACGCAAAGTGTGGAAATTCAGTTGCATGAACATATTTATAAAAACAGAGCCCATGTCTTTCTGCTCCTGCTGAAGACTCTATTTCTATTTCTGGTTCTACTTTTCTGGTCTCTGATTATAGGACTTTTGTTCCAGTGTTTTATAACCGTAATAATCGACCAACAAACAACAACCTGCAAATCAGAACATTTCTGGAAAAGTTAATGGGACTGATTTATTATTAAAATGTGCATATGTCTCTGTTAGTAGTATTTGGAAACCATGAAGCATCTTTAAGATTTTAAGTGCCTGAAAACTTGGTTTCAAATATCAAAGCTGCTATAATATTTATTTCATATAAAAAATGTGTATGAGAAAGGTTTCACCCGTAGAGAACCTCTCATCTCCCCTCACCTCTACGGAGCGAGTTTAGCTTCTGGTTTTGGTGGTCTGGCCACGACTTTACTGTTTTGGTTCACTCTCAGTCCTCTCGTTTCATTCTTGGCTGCAGCTGGCAGCTGTTTTCAGCAAAAAACGCTGCTGTACACCACCTGCCCAGCAGTAAGCGATTAGCTGTTGAAGCTAAAAGATGAGTAAATTTAGGACTTACATTCTTAGACCCAAACACAACTCCAAATGAATGATAATGTTAAATAGGCATGTGTGAATGTGTAACACATACAGTATCATTTTAAAAGGTGATATAGGTCAGTGTGATATTGTTTCTGCTGCCCCCAGTTGGTAACAAAATCTCTTATTACTGCTTTAAAGCTCCAAATAGTTTAACTGATTGAATGTAGACCACTGTTAGAGACTCTATGGAGAGGCTTCTTTCAATGCACTGATTCTACACATGCTCACAACACATTGTCAACTACAGAGCGTCTTTAAGGTTAACAGTAAAAATAAATAAGATTTAATTTTCATGTTCTACATCACTGCGCACCCAAGTGACTGACCCAATTATTCTTTTGACGTTTCTTCAGTGGAGCCCCCGTGAAAATTGTTCACAGTGTGTAACAGGGGGACTGTTTGTAAAAAGAAATCTTGCTGTTGATGATCTTGTTTAAAGTTCCAGGTCTCTGCAAGTTTCAAGCTGTCCTCAATGGAAAGCAATGGCTGTTAAAGGTATGAAATCCATCTAAAAATTTCTACCATGCTTTTAAAAGTATTCAGACACACAGTGAAAGGGCTTAAACATTCACAATTACCTCGTCCTTTAATGTTATAAAAACAATGCTGAGTCTAACTGTTGTATAACTCTCACACTCTGTGTAACTTCTGCTGAGCTGATATCTCCAGTTTCCTCCACTCTCTCCCATGCTGTTGTCTGTGTTAATCAATGTTGTACTGTCCTCCTCTTTTCCAGTTTTCCACATGACCCGTGATGTGCTGCCCTGTTAAGCCCTTGGAGCCTATCAAGCCAACATTCAGAAGACGTCCACACACTTGACCACATACTGGACACCGGCCTGATCTTGCTGCCTTCAGTATGGACCTGAGATTCCTGTTCATAGCTTCAGCTCTCCTTCTGGGGGCCACACTCACCATCTCACTGGCAGACCGCACCTCACAGTGCAAAGTCAAATGGTAATGTAGAATTTTTATTTTTTAGAGTATTTGTGCATAGTCAGCAATGAGAGAAATTAGAGGTTTAAAGAGCAAGTGTTGAACTGAAGTATACTGTGGGTACTTTTAGGGAATCTTTGAGTGAATTCTCTATTTACTGAAACTATTTTATTCTGCAGATGTTAATGTTCACAGAGCAGATGCTGCATCTTGGACCAGCGAGACATAAATAATGCATTATGATGGTGTTTGGGTTGCATGAAATCCAGTGCAAAAGGGTCAAGTTAATGTTAGACAAGTTACTTATGAATTCAAAATTCTGTGCAGCCTGATTTCTCATGCATGTTATCTTGGACATGGAGTGACTGCAGGACTCACAAGACTCACATTAGTCATACCTGCGCAGATAAATGGAAAGTTGTGCTGATTTACAGAATCTAAAGCGAGAGTCTCTTTTCTGATACGTAAAGTATTTTATTAATAATACTTTCAAACACTACATGAGCCTTTAACTGAATCTGACAGTAACACATCTAACCTTGCTGCTCTGCTCTGCAGGTTGTTTGACATCTCGTGTCAAGATGTCTATGGAAAGCTGGTGAGCCAGATCAAGGCCTGGCAGATCAGACAAAGCTGTCTATATGAAGGAGAGAAGTGTTCGTATGAGGTCAGAAACATCTCCGTCAACTAATATATTGTTGAATTATAATTAATAATAAATTAATACTTTACATAAAAAAATAACCTTTTGAAATAAACAATGTACATTGTCCTTCATTCAAAGGTTTTAGAAAGACCATAATGACTTTTGTAATCAAATATATTTGATTTTATATTTGTCCTTTAATATGTAAACATGCATCAGATATAGGAAAACACTGTACCATTTATGGGTAACACCCTTTATTTGGCACTTATAAGTTGTATGTAAACATATAATAAATGGTTAATAATGTAGTTGTAAGCAGATATAGGTGTTTGTTAATGTATTTATCAACAACTAAATATGCTGTTACAATATACAATATGTCTTTATAGGAGAAGTTACAATCTGTGAAATAAATGAGTGATTTCATAGATCCTTCAAACAATGAACAGAAACAAAATAATTTATCTACATATGACACAAGATATTAAACAAGAAGATATATGCAAACTGAAACATGCAACTGCAGGTAAGGGGATGATGTCATGATCAGTCCTACCTGATGTACAGTGTAGAGAATATCCTTGTTCCTAATATTGACCAACTGAGCTTGAAATGTGCAGCATGCAATGTTTCCCGTCAGACTTGACTGAATTTGAAATGTGCTGCAGCTTGTGTCGACAGCTCCTTACCTGATCACAGCCACGCATACGTCTCCAACAACCAAAAAAGTGAGCGACCTACAGTTTCTTCTGGAGCAGTCCACCGTTTGCAAAATGACTGTGAGTGCATTTTTTTTTAGTGAGTAAACTGACTGATGCAGCTCTGAAGTGTGTCTTCAATTAGAAATATTGGACTCACAAAAAGCTTTGTTCAAAGACCACAGGACCTCATGTAATTCATTTGGCTTTGATTAAATGTTAAAACAAGAAAATGTGTGTGCATCTCAAAGGAAAGTTAAAGAGGAACCTCAGAGTTGAGAGGGTTAATCAGCTTTTGTCACTGACATTCCTCTCTGACTGTCTCCTGATGTTTCTGACGTGCAGGGAGAGGCAGTGTCTGAGTTTACCAAAGATCCAGCTGAAAACAGCACAAACTACTGCAGCCTCCAGAACCTGATGGACGGTAAATATCTTTAGCTCAGAGAACTTTAACACCATGACAGTGGACTTTCTTCAGTTGCTTCATTAGTTTGCCTATGTCAGTGTTTTAATCCATAAGAAGCCATGATAATGAATATCT